TGTCATAACCCAAAGGTATGATTTTGTGTGTGCTTCGGCACTAGAATTATCCCCGCCAAATTACAGCTTCATTGCACGGTAGAGTTTTCTGCTGCAGAGGAGAACCCCGGTGCAAGGAAGAGTTTCCCGCCTATTTGTAGCTTCTTTTGCAGGGTGCATTGCTCAAGTTGCAAGAGAAATGCACAGTGCAAAGGAGTTCCTGCCACCCGCATGCAAATTGGCTCCCCGTTATTGGGCTAACGATTGGCCTGCTAGCCGTATAAGAGGCTTGAGCGGTTTCCGCCCAAGCTGAAGAGGACTCCACATCCATCTCGTGGGGACTCTGGGTACACGGCAGGGTAATAGAAACCCTGTGTGAGATTCAGAGGAGTTTGGCGACCTGATCCATCGCCCACCTCTTTCCGTCTTCGAGCGATAATTCTTTATAAGACGTATCTACGAAGTTCCTATTTTGGTGGCGCACTTGTCCAGAGCATCCAGAGCTCTGTTTCCGTGGAGCCTAGCAAACTCCATGTGACCGTTCGTGTTGTCTTTGTCTGTAACCGCAACTCAAGCAAGTTTTCCAGCCTGCACCGCAACCATGTTCAGTGTAAGTAAACAATCTTTAAATCTACCACTACGAGTCTGTGCCTAATTTTAGCTTGACGCGCGCCCTCTCTCCGACCCTGCATGCCTGGGCTGCTGGCCACAGCCCGCGTGCAGTACGAAAAAGGGCCCGGCTCGCGCCCGGCCTGCACAAATTTCAACAATGGAAATTTATCTTGGAGATTAGGAAGGACTTTCTAACTATGCGGGTGGCTAAACGTGGGCATAGGTTATCTGGAGAGGTTGTGAACTCTCCATCCTTGAAAATTTTTAAGAGCAGACTGGACCAATGCTTGGCTAAGGTTGTTCAGACAGGGATGATGCTACCTTGAGCAAGAGGGTTGGACGAGATCAGTGGTTCTCAACCTTTTTTGTACCAGGATCCATTTGTAAACAGCAACGGTCAGTCCCAGCCCAGTGCCCCTCGCTCCTAACCCACTGTCTGCCCCCCGGCTGTGTGTGGGGCAGGAGGTGGGTGCGTGGGGCACTGGCGGGTCCTCGCAGGCAGGCAAGCCATTGTGTCCCCCATTTTTCTCCTTTAAAGGAGAATCCATTTTTAAAGTTTGGTCACAACCCTTTCATCTATTCTTGCAACCTACTTTTGGGTCATGACCCACAGGTTGAGAAATGCTGGACTAGATGACCTCTTCAGGTCCCTTCCAGTCCTGTCTTTCTATGGGTCCTGCTACATGTTCAAATTAAAGCTGGCTAGAAACCAGCTCTAGAGTTGTTACACATTTTCAAGCACTAACTTTATAGTTGGCTGGCTCCTTTTACAGCTGGATACTCATTTTTATCTATATGGCACCTGTCACACGTTACACCTACAGCCTGCTTAACCAGATAATCATGTTTGAGGTTGTAACCTGGCCACCCCTTGGCATCATCAAGCGAGGACTAGGCCACAAAGTTATTCCACAAAAAAACGGGTAATAACTTTGTGGCTGGTTCCTCTGATGCCAGGCCCAGAAGCTGTGGCTGGGTGCGGCCCCAGGCCCATGGCGCCTCCTGCCCGCGGGCAGAGCCGGGACCCCGCCACCCGCGTGACCTGGCAGGAGGCAGGGCTGTGCGGCATCTGGCCTCGACGTGCCCATCTGGAGGGGCCCAAACCACCCGGAGCCAC